ATTGGATATACCTTTCCTGTATTGGATAGTGTAATCCAATCCCAATAATTTTGTCAGCCCCTTTTTTGAATAGCAGTAGTGAGTTTCTGCTCCAATAAGTATTTTAAAGGCTCATGATCAGTTTTGATGATAAAAGGTTTGCTCTCTAAATAGTGTCTCCACTTGGAGACTGCTAATAAAATAGCAAGGTATTCCCTCTCATAAATAGACATAGCAGCATGGCATTGACTGAGAGCTTTACTTAAAAATGCTATAGGTCTGCCCTCCTGTGATAAAACAGCCCCTATGCCTCCAGAACTAGCATCAGTCTCTAAATAAAAAATCTTAGTAAAGTCTGGTAGAGCTAACACAGGTGCCAGACACATAGTTCTCTTCAGTTCTTCAAAAGCAGTCAAAGCTGCACTGTTCCACTTAAAACAGTCCTTTTTCAGCATCTGAGTCAAAGGTTTACTAATTGCCCCTTAATCTTTTATAAATCTTCTATAATATCCTGTCAACCCCAAAAATCCCCTCAATGATTTTAAGGATTTAGGTAAAGGCCAATTTCTCATTGCTTCTATCTTGCTAGGATCAGTAGCAACACCAGCAGCTGAAATAATATGGCCCAAGTACTCTACTTGGGTCTGACCAAAGAAACACTTAGATAGTTTTGCAAATAGTTGATTACTTTGCAAAACATCCAAAACTAATTGTAAATGCAGAATATGGTCTGTCATAGAACTGCTGTAAACCAATATATCATCAAAAAACACCAAAACAAACTTCTTAAGGAATGAACTAAATAATTCATTCATCAAAGCCTGAAATGTTGCAGGAGCATTAGTTAACCCAAAGGGCATTACCTTAAATTCATAATGACCCTGATGAGTTCGGAATGCTGTTTTATAAATGTCCTCCTCTTTAATTCTGATCTGCCAGTAACCTGACCTTAGATCAATTTTTGAAAAGTAGACAGCCCCATGTAGCTCATCCAATAAATCCTCAACAACAGGAATAGGAAATTTATCCTTAATTGTCATGCTGTTCAACTGCCTATAATCAACACAAAACCTCCAAGTACCATCCTTCTTTTTAATGAGAAGGCATGGAGAAGCAAAAGGACTTTTGCTAGGTTGAATAATAGAAGAAGATAACATAGCAGCAATTTGTTTTTCCACTTCAGCTTTTTGATTATGATGAAATCTGTATGGCCTTAAATTAACAGGCATAGAATCGGCTTTAAAGTGATAGTATGATCATGAGTTCTTGTAGGTGGAAGACCTGTAGGCTCAGCAAAAATAGAATTGTATTTTTCCAATAATGGTTGAATAGTTGTAGGAGTAGGTCTTGAACCTTATGTCATATTCATCAAAACAGCATACCCCAATAAAGCAGAATTTGAAAATGTCATCTTTAATAGTGTAGCTCCTGAAATCTGTTGCAAAAAATTCGAGGGCTGTTGGCCATTGATAACAATCTGTTCATCCTGATGTACAAAACTGAGTGTCAGTTTATTAAAGTCCATTAAGATAGGACTGACTAACTTCATCCAATCCACACCTAGGACCATATCACTTCCCCCTAACTGCAGAAGTCTAAAATCATGAATAAAAGAATGTCCCTGCATTTGCCATTCCACCCTGTTACACCTAGCTGTACTGAAAAGCTGCTGTCCATTAGCCACTGTAATAGCTAAAGGATATGGTGTAGTTACCTGAATCCCTGCATCAACCCACTGAGGTGTTAAAAAACTGTGGGTGCTACCACTGTCAATTAATATGTTCAATGGCCTGCCTAGAATAGTGCCTTGAATCCTTAGTGTATTATGACCAATACACCCAGTGATAGCATTCATAGAAATTTCTAGGCTCTCCTCATCTTGTAACACTTGTTGTTCTAACTCATTTGGTAAAGTTTCTGAAGATAAAACAGGTTCGTCCTCAATCATCATATTCAATTGCTTTATCTTACATTGATGCCCTGGAGAGAACTTTTCACCACACTTATAACATATGTTGTTTTGTCTCCTGTACTCCAACAAATTCTGTTTTGGAGGCAGATTAGCTGAACTTTTCTGTTGTGGATTTGAGAAATTAGGTTTAGTACTGGGTAATGGGCTTGGGTAGGGTGGGTTTCTAAAAAAAGCTCTCCCTCTTTTATTCTCATATTCCATAGAAAGCTCATATAGTTTAGCTTGTCTGCAAGCTTCAGAGAGTGTCTTTGGCTCCAAAACCTTAACTCTATGCTTGATATCTTCTCTTAATCCACTAATAAAAAGAGAGACAAAAAACTCTTCACCCAGAGTAGGATTCTGTAACAGCATATGAGGCTGCAATTCTTCAAACCTGTCCTGGTATTCCTCTATTGATTCCTTCTGCACTAACTTTGATAATTCCTCAACTATGTCAGCAAAGTACCTATCACAAAATCTATAGCAAAGATCTGCCTCAAATTCATGCCATGTCACATGATGTTTTTGCATAATATACCCATCAAACCAAACCTCTGCTTTCCCAGTTAGGTACATAGTGGCTACTTCTATCCTCTGCTCATTAGGAACATTACACAGAGAGAAATATTTAAGACATTTTTGAAGCCACCCCCTAGGATTAACCCCTTCAAAAAATGGCAACTCAATTTTAGGCCTATGCCACATAGACCTTGAACTTATAAAAGAACTTCCTGGACCTCTTCTTTCAGTTTCAGACCCCAACAATTTAGGTCTAGATTCACTATTTTCACCTAACTGATTCCCATTTTTTAAGACCACACAATCATCAGGTTTTGCTTTTAATATCCCAGGCTCATCCGGTTTATAAGTGAATCTTGATTTATCTTTTACCACAGTCACCAAAACAGGACTTTGTTCTCCATTTTTAGAAGCATTAGAAGTTTGTACCTGTTCACCAGCAACATTTTCCTGCTCACCCGTCCTGCCTGTTAGAATCTTCAACAACTCTTCAACATAGCTTTGATTAGTAGTCATTCTTGATTCCATTGCTGTGATTCTGTTTTCCTGCACTTCCCACCACTTAGGTGGATTAGTCTCGTCCCTTCCTTGCTTCACTAATGCTGTTAAATCCTCCATCTGTTTCTGCAGGCCTGATAGATCAGCTTCATTCATGTTTTGATTCTTCTTTGTCATGCCCTTTGCTTGCCAAAACCGAGGCTCTCGATACCAATTTGTGATGAACGAGATAATGAAGAAGAGAAAAGAAAGAGATTTCAGAGGAGAAGCAGAAAAGGTTTAAGAAATTCAGAATTCATTTCAATGAAATGATGCATAATCCTTCCTTTTCCAGGTACAATTATTTTTATACCGTGTACTACAAAATCTAACAAGCCAACTGGCTTAGATTCTAACTAATTCTGTTACTGCATATTATCTTAGGCTTCTCTGGTGGACTTCTCTGTTGGGCTCAAGGCTGCTGGGTCTTCAAACATTAATTGGGTTTAATGAACCCGTGCTCCTCACGTGACCTTCACTTCATCAGGTAACAATCCCAATTCCTTCAGCAATCTCTAACCCTCGTTTATCATTTTCCCCAATTCTCTCTTCACCTCCCCGATCGTCTTCTCCTCCTTCCTCATCTCCTTCTCCAACCATGACACGGTAAAGTGTGGGTTTATTCATTAATATATGTTCATAATTTCATTAATCAATTGATAATATATATACAATCTATAAATACTCACGAATCAATTTACATTAGTGGTTAGAAGAATAGTTGATATTTCTAGAGATTATGTGTTTGAGTATCAGTGACTGCAAGAGTAATTGAATGCTCATTGTCAAATTGTTGAAAGTATTTAGAACATATATTACTTTATAATCACCTTAATTTAATAAAAAAAATAACAATTTATAAATACAACAATTTAAATTCAATATTTTTAAGGAAAACAATATTCCTTTTCTTCACTAAAACCACTAATGAATTCACGTCATTTTAATATTTAATGATTATTCAAATGTAGTTTTAATGAAGAGAAAGTGAACAAAGCTTATATAGTCTTCAATTAATCACCAAATTAAAGACACGAAGCTCTATCATATTTTCATCCTCTCCTATTATTAGGTTTTCTTGGAGCAGAAAGTTAGGAACCAAGTAATCTTAATAGTTAAGGAATTATTATTATTTTTTAAAGTTTTGAGTTCGAGCATTATATATATGCAAAGATATAAGTATTCAATATCAAACAATTGAAAATATGAACATATACTACATTAGATTCACTGCAAATTAATAAAAAAATATTTGGGTAAACTACGCGTTTAGTACCTAAACTATTAGTTTTTGTCCATTTTAATACATAACTTTCATTTTTTAAAAGAAAGCACCATACCTAATGTTTCATTTTTGTTTCATTCTAATACCTCATTGTTAAAAACTTAACAGATGGTCTCGCCGATCGCCACATCTACAATCATCGGCCGATAAAGCTCAAACATTCCAGCTCGCACCTTTCCGATCCCTAAACACGATTATGGCCTCCGTTCCACCAGGAAACACCTCAATCTCCCCAAATCAACGATGAACTCTTCAATTTCTTCATTCTCTAATCTCCATGGTCCACCGCTGATGGGTCTAAAACTGAACTGTGTTAGTTAACTCGTCATTCTCTCGTGATCCACCAGAGATATACCATGTCAACCCATCCGTTAAATTTTTAACGGATAGGTACTAAAATGAAATAAAAATTAAATGTTAGGAATAGTTTTGGGGGAAAAAAATGAAAGTGTAGGTACTAAAACGAATTAAAAATAATAGTTTAGGTACTAAATGCAAAGTTTACCCAAAATGTTTCTTGGAGTCTGCCGGTGTATTTAACATGTCTTTACTAACCGGACAAACCCAATACGCACCATTCTCTTTGAGCCTGCTAAGTCATTGTTTGTGTATACTGGCGAGTGCGAAGCTCATTTTATAGGCAATCTAAAATTTGAAAAGCATTTTCCCTCTCAAATACGAACCGACAAAAAAGGGGGAAAAACGAAAGCCGAGCAATTGTTAGTGAAAATGCTAACAAGAAACTCCGTTTCCCAACCCACTCCCTTCCGCCGATCTGGAGGGCTTCTTGATCAAAAAACTCCCAGAAAGTCGAAAGGTTCGAATGCCCAAAATGTCAAGTCCGAGGAAAACACTGCTAGTTCTACGGCTAAAATTTCCAAGAAACCGGTACAATCGAGTAATGTTTCAACAAATTGTGTGAGTTCAACGTCTGGGTCGCGAAAATCTCCAAGGTTGAACTGTGGGTCTTCGTCTAACAAGCCCGAGGGAAGCAAATCTGATGAGACAAAGAATGTTGAACCTAGGAAGAACGAGAGTATAAAGGTGGGATCATTGGATGGAAATAGAAGGGAAATGGAGAAGAAGGAAAGGGGAATTTCAGTCGAAAGTGAAAGAAGAGAGGTTTCTGAAAATACCAAAGATGTTGGGGTTAAGAGAAATAGAAAGAGGAAGAGAGAGGGAGAGAGGAAGCCTAAAGATGGAGGGGATGCAGTTCTTCAAGGGTGGACAAGGGAACAGGAATTGACTTTGCAAAGAGCCTATTTTTCAGCCAAACCAACGCCTAATTTTTGGAAGAAAGTTTCAAAGCTGGTATTTTTGCCTTTCCTTTTGATATTGATATCCAAACTTAAATTATGGATTTTTCTTATATTACATAATGTTGTAGATTTGATGTGCATATTTTGTGGTTATTCAAATCTAAAGGTTATTTGAAATTAAGAGTCTTGGCTTTGTGACTCTGCAGTTTCAGTAATGCTTAAGTTGAAGAAATTAAGGATTATGGCATTGTGTTGGACTAGCATGCTAGATTGCATTCAGTTTTGTTTTAGATGTGAATTCTGTAAATTTAGTATCAGTTGTGTTTAGATGAAGATGACTATTCGCAATTTACTAAGTAGCTCCTACATTTGTGACTGTACTGTACCTGATTCGTTGTTGAATTCCGGCCTTGCATTTGCTCCGATCATTTAACTCCAACTCTATCTCAGGTGCCAGGAAAATCTGCACAGGATTGCTTTGATAGAATCCACACTAACCATTTAACTCCGACTCCAACGGCGCCTCGTTCAAAGGCAAAACGAGTAAACTTGTCTCCAATAGAACATTTGTCATTCTCCGCAAGCAAATTGCTTCAATCCCCTGCACTGAGTAAAAGCTCCGGTCGAGGTAAACATAAAAGCTATCTCACGCAGAAGAAAACGGTGAGACATTTGTTGCGAAAGCATCATCTTGTGGATGAAGGTGATGAGGCGGATCTGTTCTCCATTCTCGAACCCAACACTAGTCCTTCCATGCATGTTTGTCCAAATGTTATGTTTTCTACCCCGAAAGTTTCATTGGAAAAACAAGGAGTTCTCCGTAAGTGTCATGAAAGATCTTTTTCGGGTTGTAAGAAGCACCGTTCGAAACTTGTTAACTCTTGTACCGAAGCCCTCGTAAGTCCCCCGGTGTTGAAGCAGATTAAGAATAGGGAGTTACACGAGAAGTACATCGACCAACTACATAACCGGGAAGCTAAGAGAAAAGCCGAATCTTCACAAGCTGAAACAGTTGTTAGAAAGGAGAACAGGGGATCTACTCAAATTCAAGTAGATAAGATTAAAGCAGCAAAGAAAGCATTAGTTTCTGATGCAAGAGATGTTATTAACCTGCTGCAACATCTGCAAACCACTAGTGTTGACAACTCTTTGGACTTGGAAGCCGACAATACCGACGGAGATCATGATGAAGAAGAAGAAGATGATATTAATCTTTAACACTCTCAATTCTAGTTTGTATGAAAATGTGTTATAACCAGCATGCTAATTGTGACTGTCATATGTAGCTGCTGACTCTTGATCATGTAGAGTGTAGACTTTAAAATGTTTAATTTTTGGTTAAACTCAATAAATAGATTCTTAGAACTATCACTTTCTTTTTTTTTTAAAATAGATCTCAGAAATCTTATATTATAAGCATTCAAGTTACTATCATGAAAGAATTATGTCTTATAACCATTTAAGTCCTTATTCAAACTAGGGATAGACTGAGTGGTGGGTGGAGATAGTCACCCCATTAAATTTATTATATATATATATTTATTTATTTTTATTCTCTTAAAATTTTATAAATTTGTCTTTATTTAAAACTTTTATAAGTTCACTCTTTGTCATAGAATCTCATTCATCCCTAATTCAAACCAATTCAAACGAAATTTTATGCTCTTCCATAATATAAATTATTTAAGAAAGATGAGATTGATATAAAGTATAATCCTTTGATATATAATAAATATAGTCATATCAAATTCACTTATACATCTATTATATATGCTAGAATATGGGTGCTAAATGAGTTGAGCAGCTCGAATTTGACTTAATTAAAATTCGATTTGAGTTATTTGACTCGAACTCAACTCAAAATCTAAACAAGTTAAGTTGAACAACGTTCAACTTGACTCAACAAGTTTGCGAGTAGTTCATTATTTTTTTAATATTTTTAAGTAATTACCTTAAAAATTATTGCATTAAAAAGTTTAAATAATAATTACTAATTTGCTAACCTATAATAAGAAAAATGTTGAATTATTAGTTAATAATTACTACTAATTTACTAATATATTAATTTTCTAATAAATAATAAGAAAAATATTAAATTATTATTTTGTAATTATTTTTAATGGATTAATTAGTAATTATTAATTCGCTACATCCAATAATAAAACCCCAATTATCCTATTCAAAAGTTTTGGTGAGCTCAATGAACAACAACGTTTTTAAACAAGCAACAAGTCGAATAAAATTTTAACAAACTTAACGAGCAATGAATCAAATTGAATAACAATATTTTTAATGAATAAGAGTCAAACACTATTCAACTCTCGATTTGAATAACAATTTTTTAATGAATACGAGTAAAATACTATTCAACTCTTGATCGAATCGCTAAATAAATACTCCTATGTTAGAACCACTTGCCCTTTAATACTTTAGTTCAAATAAATTGCGAATATTAGAATCCAAAGCTCGCTCTAATCAAATCAGAACAGATTAATGGGTTAAATAAGGGAAATCCATCAGGAATCTGGGGGAAATAGTAATTTCAATTGTTAGGGATCACATGATTGTTGTCCTGCTAATTTTTTTTTTTCTAATTCTGATTTGTCAGGCTTACAAGCTCTTGTCAGCTTAAAATATTACAGTCTGCTATACGTTAAACGGTCCATTGAATTTCTGAAAAAGAAAAGGATATATCTTATAATTAATTCTGATCACTTTCTATAAAATTATTTCTTCATAAAAGAATTATAATTTTAACATGATATAAATAAACAAATTTATATGTTATCAATCAGTTAATATCTTCAAATTTATTGGTTAAAATACTTCAAGAATCATTGAATAATATTTAAATAGTTGTTTTGATCATTAAATTTTAAAACACTATAAAATAATTATTAAATTTATTGAATAACTATAAAATAATTATTAAATATAATCTAATATAACAATAATTATTTTATTACAATTTGATTATTTAATAATTTAAAAAATTTAATGACCGAAATATCGTTTGAATATAGTTAGATGAACTCTAATATATTTTATTCAAATGTGTTTAAATATATAATAGCTCAAACTTATAAAAGGAGGACATCCTTCTCAATGCATGAGATACACTAGACACTAGAATTCACCAAATTCAATAAATCTAAGCCTAGCAACCAAGGCAAGGATGTCGGAAATGGGGAGAGATCTCAGTTGCCGGCGGCAATCATCTTATTTTTCCGGCTGTTATGCGATGTCTCCGTCGTGTTTCCCGGTGCACGAAGAACTGGAATACTCACGCATCCATTATTGCAGAAAAGCTAGTGACAGTGATAAGATACGGCGGAGATGGAGAAACCTGCTGAGAAGACTGGTAAAGGATGGGAAAAGAAGCATTTATCGATCATCGAAGCCATTGTCGTTTCAGTACGACGCCGTTAGCTATTCCCAGAATTTCGATGAAAGCTGTCATCATCAAGAATCTGGGCATTTGCCCTCCACTGTTTCAAGATGATTAAAATTTTTGCTTATTTTTATTTGGTTCTTTTTTTTTCTGGGTTTCTTGTAAGTTGGTGTCATCTTTGTTACCTGTAACATACTCATATATTTATTTAAGATCTGTTTTTTAAACTCTGGAAATGATTGAACGGTGTTAATTTCTTTTTCTTTTTTCTGGAAAATAGCTTCATCTGTTAATAATGGTCGCAGAATAATTGAAGAGCAGATGGTGGGGTCGAATGAGCCCTGCAAGTTGGCTGCCATTGTTGAAGGTTTTGAATGAAAGCTTGAAACTGTTTGTGATCCATATGGTTTTGCCAGATACTGTTCAGATTATGTTCTAGGTTTCATTTTTTTTTATTTTATTTAATGAAATGGTGAAAAATGTTTTTATCATTTAATTATTTTTTTATCTCTATTTTATTTTTATATTTATGATTATCTCAATATTAATGTTGTCTTAACATAGATTATCTCTTTTAAAATATATTTATCTCTATTTTATTATATTAGTAAAATCGTAAAGTGTCAACAAATTTATTGATAAATTTATTTTTAGAAATTTAACTTAAATAAATTTATTCCGCCCATTTAAGTTTAATTTATTTCATTCAATTCATTTTTTAACATTAAAATAATTAAGTTGTTCACCCATAGTAAAATAGAATTTGTGAAAATTTAGTGGTTCTATTACAATCCACAGACCATTTCAATTCAGCTCTCTCGAAAGGAAATTCTTCACGCAAGATGAACTACTCTTTAATCATTGTCTCTTTCGGGTGGACTTAGTTGAAGATGAACCGGGACATTTGAACCCTCTCCGCATCCAAAACCATATGAATTCAGGCCATTTCCATTTTCATAAACCTGAAGCATAAACCCTAATTGATTAACTCATTAAACATGATTAATTAAGAAGATTGAATCCATCAATATAATGGATATACCTTCTTGTATAGTTCCGTGTTTTCTTTGCGAATAAGATTTACCTTTTTGAAGAGTTCCACATTCTCCTGATGAATGAGGTTCCCCTGAGAAAAAAAAGAAAAAGAAAAAATGAAGGCACAATGTAAGTATAACAGTGGAAATGATTTTATTTTGAATAACAATGTAAATGAAAACTCAGATAGTGTTGTTTTGGAAATACCCTTCGACTTAGTTCTTGTATTTCATCACTTAAGATACGTTCCTGCAATTTTTTTTTACATGCAGCATGTGTCAAGTTCATTATTGCCATAATATTATGCCTGAAATTTTCTTTAAAAACTGGGTTTTTTGTTACCTTTTTCATGCGAACACCCTTCAAACTCATCTCCAGCTGGTTCTCCAGATTCTGCAGCTCTTCAACTCTCAAACCGTAAAGCTGTTCACCCATGAGTTGCCTGGTTTGTATCAGATTATAAGATTGTTTAAACAATCCCCGGAAGTAATATTATGGAATTTTATGCTATGAGAGAACTGGTATACCGATGGTTTTCTTGCAAATTCTGCACTTGTTGTCTCAAGATTGCAGCCTCTCTTTGCCAGAACTGTCGAGAAATAAACAGCAAATCTTACGCTTATTTAGAACATGAAAACATCTCCTGGGTATTATAGTTTCTGTGATTCTTTATTTTCCCGAAAGTTTTCGTATTCAGTATGAGTACAGTGGTACAATCCTCCAAATATATATGAACAAATTGGTTATATGCATATATATATATATATATATATATTGCTGCAGTTTTGCCATGATTAAGGTTAGACTGCCATTAGAACAAGATTCCATGTAATATATATCTTCTTTCAGAATCTTCATCTCTATCGTATAGAAGAACCTGTTATGTATGTAGTAAAAAGTGGTAGAGAAGTTGACCTTCACTTCTGACGACGGATTCAACAACTGTTGGTGTTCCTCTTTCAAGCCGTTGAATCTTTCAATAACTGATTTCATGCTGCTATTTACAAAGTATACACCATCTTTGTGTCAGAAAATATCTCAATGAACAAAAAAATAAATGTCTAAATGATGGCAACATTTTTCCTGATATATCATCCTTTAATTTATATTAATAATACATGCAATTATATACCATTAATATACTTGAATATATTAAAATTATTTTTTAAGTTCACAATGAACTTTCCATATCGAGAAGATTTGAGGTTCTCTAAATGAATGGTCGATATCTAAAACATTGCTTATTATGGAAATGCATGGTTTTCAGAACCGGACCGGTTAACGAACCGGTCATGCTAACGGTTCACTGGTTCAACCGGTCGAATCGGTCCGACCGGTCGGAAGAACAGGACGACGTCATAATTATTTAAAAAATTAAATAAAAATACCAAAAATATTTAATAAAAAATAATTTTTTATATCACAAGTCATATTCAAAGCAAGTTATAACATATATAAGTTAAAAACCATAAAATCAAGTGAAACAAAATGATTTAAATGAACTACAACATAATATTTAAGGTAAAACATATTAAATAATAAATATAATTAAAAAATAAATTTGGAGTTAAAAAAATCATAACAAAATAATATTGTTTGGTTTAATTTTTTTTAAAAACAATCCCACATGGCTAAAAAACATAGAAGAGCATCCCAAAAGTCTAAAGAGAAAAAATATGAGAACAAAACAATCTCACATTGCTAAGAAACATAGAAGCGCATCACAACTAACTTCTATAAATAATAGAGGTAATTTGATATTCAAAATCAAGCTCGAATTTTAGGCTTCAATCGAGCTTCTAATTTTTTTTGAGTTCAAGCCTTTTTGAGTTCAAGTTTCAATATTATATTTCGAGTTTGAGTTGAACTTGATAATTTTTAGCTTGTGAGTTTGAGTTGAGTTGAGCTTACTTTTAAAGTTTTCAAGTTCGAGTCGAGCTCAGCAATACTCGAATTCGACTTGGCTCGTTTAACAAACGACGTTGTTTGGTTTAATTTATTTTTTTTAAAAAAAACAAAAATCCCGGTTTTTTCTGGTTTTCAACCGGTCCGGTTCGAACGGTTCAACGATTCTGACCGGTTCACTAATAGCAGTTCAACCGGTTTAGATTGAACCGGACTAAGCAACGGTTCCCGGTTGAACCGGCCGGTCCGGTCCGATTTTCAAAATAGAGTGGAAATGTACGCTAAGAAATGCTAAACTGAACTACAATATTGTATATTTTGTCAAATGATCCAACTTGGATTTTTTTCCCTAGCTGGAGTCTTAAACTTTAGTAGTGGATGCATATATGTACTTTTACAAATTGGTTTTCGAATTTAGAATTTTTTTGTTGTTGCCAGAATAATAAAATTTTAATTTCAACTATTCATTTAGATTCATATTGTGGTTATAATCTTTATATATATAAGATTAAAAGGTATAGTTATACTATATGTAAGAGATTGAATTTTTTTTAATAGTATGAGATGATAATATTTGTTGATAATTTTTTTAATATATTAAAAACACATACAATATGTGCAAAACTAGAATTAAACATGTTTATGACTATCCTAAGGTAAAAGGCATAAAGGCATAACCATGAGATTTCGACTAAAGGTATAGCTGTATAATTTTGACTTCAATGCCAAGCATGCAATGATAATTGATTTAAACATGAACAATCATGTAAAGTTAACAGTTTTAACAAGTTGAAATAGAAGAATCATCGGCACCAAGCATCATAAAAGAACTTGAGTGTGGGATTTTCTATTAAAAGAGGTGATTAAAATATGGACTATATACTAGAAATTGAAACCAAATCTTCCCAATAGTGCAGTCAAGTTCTTTTTATTTTCCCTTGTTGATGATCATACAAAGAAGAAGCACCAACTAATCCTTCATATCTCTCCATTATTGCAGAAACTAGTCCAAATCAAATCATCCATTTTATCCTTCATATCTCACCAACTTATCCCATCTAGTAATTAACCCTTTTTATTCTTACAATTTCATCGCAGGTACAGCTTATGATCCAATAGATAAACATCAGATTCAGTATGAATATATCCCTATTTCCGGTTTTTCATTGGTTAAAAAAGAAGACCAGGAAATTAGGCCATAAATAGAAAAAAAAAAGATTAAGGAAAGGACATTGAAACTATGGTAAAACGTATAACTCAGGTTTGGTTTGATGGTTATCTGTATCGTGAAAGCTAGAAAGTCGAAGGAAACACATTGACGGAGGATAAGAAACGAAACCTGGTGCTAGCAAATTCATAGAGCTTTCCGGTGCTGGAGAAGATGACAAGGCCAACTTCTGCATCACACAGTATGGAAAGCTCTTTGGCCTTCTTAAGTAAACCCTTCCTTCTCTTTGAAAAGGTTACTTGCCTGCTCGTTGAATTATCGATCCTTCGAATCACAATCTTCCCTCTCCCCATATCCTTCTTCTTCTTCTTCTAGGGTTTCTTCTACAGTTCAACAAAGAAGAAAGATTTAAAAGGCAATCTTAGTGAATGAAAGGAAAAGTAGAGATTGATTCTGAGGATGGGAATAAGAGGTTACAGGGTTAAGCCAATGAAAAGCTTTAGGAAATAATCATCAATGACAGGGCTGAGAGAGGTTTATGTAGTGAAAAGTGGGTTTCACTTTGTGGGTTAATGGGGTTGGTTTTTCAGGTTTAAAACTTCCATCTGTTGAACGCTTTGGACTTGGAGTATTTGGTGTCCCTCGAAATACTTTAGGGCAAGAAGGTAGATTTTCGTGTCTTCTTCTTTCCTTTTTTTCCCCCAATTTTCTTTTAGTATTTTCATGGCGCCGTTGCTCGAATAGGTCAGTGACAGTTGGAACTATGTGTAAACAAATAGATATATTAATTATCTCAGATTGCGGTTATATATATATAAAGTTCTTCCAGCTTAGTTAGATTTCGAGCTCGATATTTTGGGAATGTAGTATTTTAAATACTTAATTGGTAAATTTTATTTTTTTTCTTATGGTTCTGTTTAATTTGATAAAATTAATTTTTATTTAAATTATTAAATGGACAAATCAATATAATCGTTAACTTAACAAGGTTTTCTTTATAATTTTCTTAAATATTAATTTTTTAAATATTTAGATGTAAATCTTTAAAATATATTATTGAATGATTGAAGATAAAAACTCAGACGTATATAGTCGTCACTTCGATTTATACATATGTTAACATTTATTTTTGACATGTACCACATGTTTGTATATGTATTTTTTTTTTAAAATCATTTTTCCTCACTTTATTTTTTTTTCATTTCGATCTTTAACGATATATATCTATATTATTTAAAATCTAAGTAAGTGTTTTTTCAAGAAAATCATTTTTCTCTCACTTTCTCTTTTCTTCATTTCGATCTTTAACAATATATATATATATATATATATATATATATATATATATATATATATATATATATCCTTCAACATCAATAAAATTAAGTTTAAACCAGTTATGTACTTCTATAGTTTGTGTTATATACATAATATCGCGTCCAATTATTCATATTTTCTAAAATTTTAATAAATAAATATTATTTTAATAAATAATTGTAAGAAGATATTATTTTTAAATATAATTTTTGAAAAAATATATATACGGGTAAAATTAACCTATGTGAATGTCGTTTCTAATTATAACTATAAAATTGGAGTTAATTTCCTGACAAAATGTTGGAGTCGGAGAGGTTAATATCGAAGCTTCCAAATATGGAAAATTGTAGAAGGCTTATTATACATTCTCTTGGTTCTAGCAAGCTTTCTTAGTTGGTATTTAGACGGACCAAAACCTTTATATAATTCTCTTTTTTCTCTTTTTTATATAGTTTTTTTCTAGTAAAAACTTAGTTGGTTCAATTTTATTTTTTTAAAAAGATAATTATAAGTAAAAAAAATTCCTTGTGTTTTATTCAATTTTGAATAAAAATCACTCTTTGTGACATGTCTTTTTCTTTTGTTTTTGTGGTATGTATTTTCTTTGTTTTTATGACACGACCTTTATGATTTTTGGTACGTTTTTTAATACCTTTTCGGTCGTTTTGGTACTCGCACAAAGACTCTCGCGACATTTATTTTCTGGTTACTTTATCAATAGTCATGTGTAGTCAGATTTTCTTTTTGGTAAAATGTTATTTGTCTATATAATAAGAATTGTATAGTTAATCATCATGTCATATAATTTGATTCACTCACCACTCCTTTATCACTTCGTAAAATGTCTCGTTTGACACAGACAATGAAGTTTTATGAAAGTTACTAAATTATTTTGATGTTGGAAGTCATTCTCAAGGGAAAAATTTACTTTTCTTCGTATCTTTCGTTTTAATATTTTTGTTTTTGTATGAGTTTTTAGTGACTATTGTCATTATTTTTTTCTCTATGCTTGGGTGTGTTATATTCTAATTCATTCATTTATTTTTATTAATGAAATCCAAAAAACTTTATGATGTTTAAGAATAAATGTGTTATACTGTAATTATACAACAAAAGTTATACATTGTAATTATCTCTGGGCGCACGTTAGCAGGTCTAACGTATCTGGGCCTTTCCGTCGTGCCCTCCGTCGGTTCTCTGGTGGTTCTACTGTTCCTTCTCACGGTTTTTCTCTGTCTTCATCTAATAGACGGTTTTGTGTTGAAGATGGACTGGAGGAAGCTTTTTGGAAGCTCTAACGGCCAATCCCTAAGTTACTTCCCTCCAAAAATATGCGATGGAGTTCCCACGGTTCATCCGCCCTCAGAGATCCTGGAAGCTGGCTCTGCTGAATGGAATCTATCCCTAATGGGTCAATTTCTCGGTCCATCCCCAAATTTCAACTCACTGCAGCGCATCATTAACAACCTATGAAAGAAGGCCCTTAATGGCTCTTGTACAAAGGTGAGTATTGCTGACAATAACCTATATATTTTCTCTTTCAATTCTTAAGAAGCTAGAAACTGGGTGCTTGAGAATGGCCTATGGCACATTCTAAACGAACCTTAAACGACTTAGCTTTGATTTATCAAAAATCTCTGTTTGGGTGCATTTGTATAACATTCCACTTGAGCTTTTTTCCCAAATTGGTCTTAGCTATATTGCTAGCGCAAACGGAGTCCCTTTATCTATGTACTCTGTTACTGCTACAAAGACTAGACTAGAATTTGCTAAATTGTGTGTGGAAATTGGTATTAATGATGATATCCCTAGACAAATTGAGGTTGTTCTTCAAAATGGCCAGACCTATGTTATTTATGTGGAGATTCCATGGTTGCCACCAAGATGTAAGAAATGTAGTGTTTTTGGGTATTCTGATAAGGCATGCTTGGCGAAATCTTCTTCTCTTGCGATTACCTAAATATGAAAGAAAAAGGGTGAATCAAAAACTGATAATCCTAAAGATGGTAATCTTCAATTAGCTGCAAATCCTGGAAACCATCCAATTGATTCTCAACAGCAGAATGCTAATTCCTTAGGGTCATCATCTTCTGCTCCTGAGATTGAACCTGCCCCTGAAGCTAATTGTCTTGAGTCTACTGCTATTCCATCTCTGCCACTCGAAGTGAACATTGACTTAACTTCTGATACACATCACAATTCTTCTTGTCACAATTCTGAAGATGGGAATCAATCTCCTAAGCCTCTAATCCCTAAACGTGGTCATGGAAGACCTACTAAAGTAAAATCAATTTTAGCTGGTTCTAAGAATGGGTTTGATGTTTTAAATTCAGTTGATGAATCTACTTTAAATCTTGAGAGTCTTCCTAGGAAAGTAAGGTCTGCCTCCTTGGGAGTTGCGGGACTGATGAAGGAGCTTAAGAAGAAAAATAAAGACAAAATAGGAATTGTCAAAAGTTCTTCAGTTGGTGGTGAGGGGAGCTCTCTGGTTTCACCTTCCCAATGATTTTAAGCTTATGGAATGTTAGAGGAATCAACAATCCTCATAAACAAGCTAGAGTCCTTAAAAGAGCTAGCCTTAATAATGTAGATATTTTATGCTTACTTGAGACTAGAGTCAGAGCTGATAAAGCCAAGGATATTTTTGATTCCACCCTTGCTAATTGGAATGTTAGTTCTAATTATGAGCATGCTACTAATGGGAGAATCTGGATTTTATGGAAGAAATGCTTGGACCTAAGCATCATTCATGCTTCTGACCAGACCATTTCAACTAAGGGGTTTTTCCTTGGTAGTCTTTTTTTTGTCACTGTTGTTTATGGCAGCAATGATGCTATCACTCGTAGACACCTCTGGCAACATCTCTATGAGTTGGATAGAATTTTTGGTCAACATCCTTGGATCCTTGGTGGTGATTTCAACATAATTTTGCAGCCAAACGAAAGCTCTAATTTTGAATATTGTCCTCATTCCTCCTCTGATATGAAAGACTTTCAAAATGTTACCCAAGATCTGTTCCTCCATGATCACCCCTATTTTGGCCCTCTTTTTACCTGGAGCAACAAGCAAATTCTCTCATATTTTGCAAGAAAGCTTGACAGAGTTCTTGTAAATCCTTCTTGGGTCAATACATATCTTAAATATTTTGTTGAATTTCTTCCCCCTGGTATTTTAATCATTGTCTGTCTCTTGTATGGCTTTCCAAAGAGGCTCCTACTAATCACCCTAAACTTTTCAAGTTCTTTAACTTCTGGACCCTCCACCCAAGTTTCATGGATAATGTTGCTCAATCTTGGCAAATCCCTACTAGTGGTAATCCTATGCAAATTTTATTTCTCAAATTGAAGAGGCTAAAGTCTGCCCTAAAGAACTTAAACAATTCCTACTTCAGTTATATCTCTTCTAGGGTCAAATATAAGCAAATTCAGCTCGAAAACCAGCAGCTTAATTCTTTGAATGGAATACAAGCTATCGAAAAGAATCTAACTCTTCAAAAAGAACTTATCACCTTACAAGAAACGGAGCTTTTATTCCTTAAACAAAAGGCAAAAGTTCAATGGATCAGAGAAGGAGATAAGAGTTCTAAATTCTTTCATCCTACAGTAGCTTCCAAAATTAAGAAGGACACAATACGAGTGCTTATTGATGAACAAGGAAATAGAATAGATTTTTTTGATGCAATGTCTGTTGAAATTATCAGTTACTTCACAAATCTAATTGGGAGTCCTGACCCTAATGTCAAAAGTAGTGACCCTGGCTTCTTGAAAGACATCCTTTAAACTGTTCTGCCTATGGAATAATCCCCAAGTCTAGTTAAGGACATTTCTGATGAGGAAATAAAAGAAGTTGTCTTTTGTCAAGCTAATGATAAAGCTCCGGGGCTCGACGGCTACACTCCATGCTTCTTTAAAACTGCTTGGTCTATTGTTAGAACTGATGTGATTACAACTGTTAAATCCTTTTTCAAGCATTTTGACCTCCTCTATGCTTTCAATGCAACCACAATTGTCTTGGTACCAAAAGTTCCCAATCCTTGCAAGATCAAAGACTTCAAACCAATTTCTTGTTGTTCAGTCATCTACAAAGTCATTACTAAAATTATTGTCAAAAGACTCAATAGTTTTATCCCAAGAATTATTACACTTAACCAAACAACCTTCATTAAATCTAGGAACATTGTTGACAACACAATTCTAGCCCAGGAAATTGTTAAGGGTTATAGTAGGAAAAATATGTCTCCTAGATGCACCATGAAGATTGACATTCAAAAGGCTTTTGACACTCTCCACTGGGACTTTATATATGTTGTTATTAAAGCTTTGGATTTTCCCTTGCTGTTCGTAGGTTGGATTGAGGCTTGTTTTAGGGAGGCCAGATTCTCCATTTCTTTTAATGGAAGCCTGATTGGTTTCTTTAAGGGAACCAGGGGTATAAGACAGGGAGATCCTCTTTCTCCCATTCTGTTTGTCCTTGCCATGAAAGTGCTTTCAAAATTACTCAATTTGGCTGCTACTAGAGGGTTATTTGGCTATCACCCTAAATGCAAAAGAGTAGAGCTCACTCATTTATCTTTTGCAGATGACTTGTTAATTTTCTGCAAAGGAAATCTGGAATCTGTCCTTGGAGTCTGTACTGTTCTGGATTTTTTTATGATCTTTCTGGACTTAAACTCAATGCATCGAAATGTGACTTCTTTTCAGCAGGTATCCCAAGGAATATCATTGATTTTATCCATCAATCCACTGGTTTCAACACGGTTCTTTTCCTGTCAAATACTTGGGAATTCCCTTAGTCTCCAGAAAGCTTTCTGACAAGGATTGTGAAGAGCTGATCCAAAAAATCAAAACTAAGCTTCTGTTCTGGTCTGGTAAACATTTGAGCTATGCTGGCCGGTTAGAACTCATCAAAGCTGTTCTTTTCAACGTTGCGAATTATTGGTGTAGGCAAGTGGTTTTACCACAAGCTATCTTAGCCAAGATTGAACAACTTTGTTCCAGATTTTTCTGCAAAGGATCCGATAAGTCGGCTATTGGTGCAAGATATGCCTATCGAAGTCAGAATGCGGTCTTGGACTGAAAAATTTGAAATTCTGGAACTGGGCCTGCATTATCAACCTTATCAGAAAAGTTCTTACTGGTGAAGGTTCAATTTGGGTTGCGTGGATCAAAGAATATGTTCTAAAAGATAGAGACATCTGGCAAATCGATATAAACTCTAGCCACAGCTGGACCTTAAACCGAATGCTCAAATTAAGAACAGAAGCTGCTGTAGTTTTCTTATCTGGAACAAAGGAAATTCGAGCAATTTGGGAGGAAATTAGAGAGAAATGTGACAAAACCCCTTGGCAAAGACTAGTATGGTTCCCTTTACATGTAACATCCCAAAATACGGGTTAGTGACCAAAATTGTAAAATTTCAGAATATGGTGATTAAAGTGTAATAGTTTAATAGTTTAATGATTTGTTCATAAATATTTCCTAAAAGTTTATAGTAATTATCCAAAGAATTAAAGGGTAAAATGGTCATTAGACTTGAAAATTATAATTAAATGATATATATATATGGATAATGATGGGAGATTTCCAGAAAAATCTCTTCTCTCTTTTCTTCTTCATTTTCTCTTCTCCACGTGTGAAGCCAAGCAAAGGTGAGTTTCTCTTGAGCTGATTATGTGCTGAAATTTAAGTTTAGTTTTGATTATTAGATGCTAAGTAAGATTAAGGAAGGATTAATTTGCTTTAAAACAACAAAATGAAGAGTTTATGAGGATTTAATGATTTGGAGTTTTTGAATGAAATATCGAAATAAAGTTTATATTGAGAATTGAAAGTTGAATTTGACTTGTCATCAAGTTAATTAAGGGATAGGAAGTGTTAGAATAAGAATTTGAACATGTTGCAAAACTAGTATAATTTTTGCAATTACATAGGAGTGACTAGATTGGAAGTTAAAGAAGTGATTATGGAATAGAAATAAGTTTAAGTATGTGTATTAAAGTTAGGAGTATTAAAGGAAGTGAAATAGGAAGGTTTGAGTTGAAAATTGATGATTTTCGAGCTTAGAATATAATTTCTGGGTAGAGGGAATCGATACCCTATGAATGGGAATCGATTCCCCCTCTTGAACGAAAAATTCCAGTATGTTCAGGGGGTATCGATTCCCCTGGGGGGGTATCGATTCCCCCCTAAATGAAAATATAGAATTCGATTCATTAAACCGATTTAAGTTATTAACATCAAGTTTAAAGTTTAGGCTTCTGATAGTTGTTTTGAAATGATATATTTATGTAGATATTGAGCCTAAACAAGTTCCGGAATAATCGAATCAAAGCAAGGCTAAGGTGAGTGCAATTTAAATTGTACTTATGTGATTGATCAAATATTGGCTTGCGATGAGTCAATGATAGAGTTACTATGGTAAGAAGTAACTTATATAATGTTATGTGATTACTCTGTATGCATTAGTACATAGAAATGGATGTATGTTTATATGTTACATGATTTACATGCTTACATGAAAATGCAACATATGATATTAGATATGTGCTTACACATACATTTGGTATGTGATAGAAAAGAATGAACATGTGATTATGAGATCAAGGATTACACGTACATGTGATACGTGACTGAAATGAAAAGATATGTGTTTATAAGAGTAAGAATATGAATAAGTAATGTGAACGGTCATAAATGATAATGCCCATGTTATGTGATATGAGAGCTAGGGGTATAGTTGGCATGCCAAGGGTCGAGGGTTACCTATGTTCTTCGGGACATATGGACTGTTTACCTATGTTCTTCGGGACATATGGACTGTTTACCTATGTTCTTCGGGACATATGGACTGTTTACCTATGTTCTTCGGGACATATGGACTGTTTACCTATGTTCTTCGGGACATATGGACTGATTACCTAGGTTCTTCGGAATCTATGGACTGGTCCTTCGGGACATTGATCGAGCTGTTGTGACAGCATAGTGGTGCACAACCTCAATGTACTCACATACCTTAAGTTCTCAAAAGTATACATGGGCTAATACATGGTCTTTACAGAGAGTAAATAAATAAATTGATTTGCTACTATGTATGTTTTGTTGTGAAGTAGTATATGTGTTCTATGGTATGTAGAGAAATGTTCGATATATGTATTTATACGATAAAAAGGTACTAAAAGTACTTGTATTATCTCAGGTTATCATGTATACTGAATTATATGCGATTCGATTGAATTCATAGATTGAATGTTTATATTTATGAGAAATGCATTATTATTATTATGTTTTGCTTCACTAAGTCTATGACTTAGCGTGTAAGTGATTTACACGTAGGTACTGAGAAGCAGAAGGATCAAAGCTAAGTTCAAAGTAACAACATATCTCTGCTCAAAGACCAGATCAGAAGTAAATTACACAGTATGTATTATTATGTGATAAATAGGTTGGCATGTAAATAAAGTAGGTAAATTAGGTATTTATGCTCTGATCGAGTTTTGTAATATTTTAAACATATTTATATAAGTACAAATGCAAAGAAATGAACTGTTAAATTTTTCACGAGTGTTATGTACAATTTACGAAAATCACTGTAGTAGGTTACTGTATTACTGTTCATATCGTATTTCACAGTTCATAAACACGTTTTTATCATCAGAATTTTATACCAAACACAATTGAATAATATTTGATTGTATTTTCTTAATATAAATTCAAATGCTCAGTACTTTTACAAGAGTAAAGGTTTTGAAAATGTCAATGTGACATCTCGGACTCGTATTCAAGTCGGGTATGGGTTGGGATGTTACATTTAATGGTATCAGAGCTACGGTTTAGCCGATTCTCGGCATAAACAAGAGTCTAGGGTGTCTTATAATGTGTACATGCCAACAAAATAGTGAAAACTTCTGATCTGGTATAGTAATGAGTATGTTGTTTTGCTAATAGAACGATATGTTTATTCTTAATAGATGTCCGGACATGATAGTTATAGAAGTCAAGCGGGAGATGATCGGCCCGCTGAGAGCAGTAATTCACCTGCCCTGGCCAGGCAAGGTGAAGAACAGACACCTTCTGGAGTGCCTGTAACTGATCAAGATGTGTTCTTTAGAACATTAGATGCGGTATTGACGCGTTATCAACCTCCTGTTACTTCTACTCCAAGAATGAATGTTGCAAAGGAGTTGAAGGGTTTAGGAGCTACAGAGTTTAAAGGTGAAGCCGAAGAATGTCCTGTTGCTGCGGACCTTTGGCTTAATGATGTAAAAATTATGTTAGATGGACTCCACTGTTCTAATGTAGAGAAGTTAGATGGAGTGGTCTCCTTGCTTCGTGGGCAAGCGAGAATTTGGTGGACAAATGTCACTTTGAGAATGACCAATGATCAAGTGACATGGTCTTTGTTCTTAGAAGAGTTTAAGCATAAGTATATAGGAGACCAATTTATCCGTCAAATGAAGCAAGAATTTTTGAATCTGAAACAGATGAATCGCACAGTGTATGAGTACGAATGCGAGTTTAATAAGTTAAGTCGTTTTGCGGCTGAGTTGATCCCAACAGAGAAGGATGTGTGTGAGTGGTTTGTAGAGGGCTTGCGCCCAAGGTTGAAAGAAATGTTAATAGTATTGAACTTGTCCTCATTTCAAGAAGTAGTAAATCGTGCTAAAGCTCTAGAGAGAGCTCAGGATGAAAGGTTTGGGGATCAAAGAACCCAATCATCTAAAAGAACCGGGGCTTTATCGAGTTCTGCACCACCCAAGAGGGGTAGAGATTCTGGTACTCAG